CTGCCTAGTTTTTTGAAATGCATACAAAAGTACACCCAACTTGACACTCAAATACATGATTAAGTTTAAGGTCTGTAAGATTCAATTTAAAGTTGCTATCAGCATTTGATATGAAATTTATGGCAGTATTCCAGTTGCAGACACATCTGTTTGTATTTGTATAGGCTTTTAAAACGATGAAGTAATACATTAGTTCACAATTTGTCTAAGTAGAAGAGTTTCCCATATTCAGTTTAGTTTGCAGCCCCTTTTTCCATGGGCATAGAGGGAGATAAGAACAATGCTGTAGTAAAAATGATGGTACAATGTTGCCTTTCTTCTTCGTTCTTTGTAAATAGGAGATTCAGATTTGCACCCTGGCTTGGCCCAGCACTGCAGGAGAAATAGTCTGGGATACGACCTTTGCCATTGTTTTCTTTCTAATACCAGGATCAGTCATTGTCGTCAGTTACTCCAAAATCTTACAGGTATGTTTTTCCTTTAAATTTTGTTGTAGAACAAAAGGAAGTAAACAATAACTCACTAGGCATCAACATATTGTCACTGAATACAAATACACCTAAAGGGAACAGATGTCATTTGTTCAATAAATGATAAGTTTGTATAAAATGAAGCACTTCAACCGGTACATATCAGCCTACACATTTCAACTAAAAACATGCTTGAATAGCACATTACCTGAGGCTCAACACAAAGTCTGTCTTCATATACATATAATATTAAATACACTTCTCCACTTATATGCTGTTCAAGCTAAAGTAATTCTCCTAAACGCTGAAAGAGTCAAGCATTTGAAATAACTAAAAACTAGATTTTGCTTTCCTTGAGCCTAAACTCCAGCCACAGGAGATTTGTAAGAAAGCAGAGAGAGCCAGGACTAGAAACAAATCCATCCAGTTTTTGGATCTGCTGGCTTTCTGCAGGTGTATCTAATACACAGATCTCATTAGATTATACTTAGTCCTTCACAGTTTCAAATGCTGCAAACAAAACCTGTAAATTAAACCCTCTGCTTCCACTTTCTTTCTAAGTGGATGTTTATCTCTTGAAATATAGGCCAAAATACCCAACACCACAGAGTTTTCATCTATATTCTAGCAAGCATAATATTAGTACCTAAACTCCTTTTAAACTACCTGATTTCATACACCCTTCTCTTCCAAAAACAGAGTGAGAAGGACCTAGAAATCTTCAAACTAGGCACTGCAATGCCTAGGTTTTAGCAACTGCCCCCAAAAGATTCTTGGTTTCTTTATTGGGTAATTAAGCTTCTCATATTATGCTTTTTGAACCCCATATTTGCTGTAGGCAAAGAGCATACAGCACCTCAGTGGGGAGTGTGAGTCCTTTGAAAGAACTGCAAACTGCCAGCCAAGGGATGCCACAGTTCTTGGTCAGAGACTAGGACAGGAATGGTGTTTGTCTTGTCCTTGCAAACACCAGATTACAAGTAAATTTAGAAAACAAAATGGCACATAAGGAGCTAGAAGGCAAAAAAAGTGCTTGGAATACTGGATTACAGTATTACAGACATGCTGCCAAGCTCCTGTTTCTTTTCCAGCTTGGCAACAGAGATGCTAAGATGCATTTCATTTATGTTGAACTGAAAAAGGCCTGAGGCCCATAGCAGGATATAATTGAATCTTCCCTCTCACACAGCTCTCCAGGAAGCAACCAGAAATCTGATGGAGAATGTCTCAGTCCCTGAGTCATTCCCAAGGGCAGACTCATTCTCACTTCATGATGCCAGTGCACACGTAGCACAATGCTTAGTGTTGCTGGAAGCAGTTCAAAACAGTCATGTATTCACATAACGACATCTACAATGATGATGATGATTGACTACAGATATAAGACCTTGAATTTGTTAACAAATTTACCCTAAAAATGTCTACTTAACAATTTACTATGAAATTGAATATTATTTTTATGTAACACTTCCCAGAACCCTGACAAAAATGACAGATTAGAAGCCATGATCTGTAATTTATTTGGTTTTGTACTCTTCTTCCTCTCAGGCAAGACTCAGTCTGGAGGCTAGAGCTAGGAAAGATGTCTGTGTTCTGGAAGTTACATACTTATATATGTATACCTGACTTCTAATTTCCTGTTTGTCCGAGTGTGGTCCAGATGCCCACAATAGGTATCTAGATTCCATTTACTGGGCAGGCCAAAAAGGCATCCACAACATAATACTGCCAGCCATTTCCACTGAGCACTTCCTTAAGATGAGATTGCATCTTATTTACCAGAATCCTGTCCCCTTCTCAGGCTCGGCAGCTGATGAGAAGCCCATTTTTGGATCACAGGTTTTGATTTATACACCTACATTCCGTTGAAATCTTTGGAAGATATCTAGGTTCTTAATGAGTATTTATTCTAGACCATCTATGTCTGTCACAAATTCAGAAAACTGCAGAAAGAAGGACAAATTACTCTCTAAACATTTTCATCTCTACCTGAAGCAGTAAGCTATTAAGTATTACTTGTATTAGTGTTATCCTTCCTGTAGTTTCTGCTAAAGGGAAGTGTCACACATAAAAGTGGCAGCAAGAGCCTTACACCTTTTGCTTTCCTTCTCAGACAGCAAATCGATCAAGGCTTTTGAAAATAGCCCTTCTTTATGCATGCAAGGGATAAAATGGCATCTTGGTTATTTAGCATAAATGTTTGTTTGCTAAATATTCCAGTTTTATTTTATTTGCCTCAGATGTGAATGTCAACTTCCCTGCCAACTTCAGCGAAGGCAGGGATGTAGAGCATGAGATTCAGTGTTTTCTGCAAGTTCCTGGGATTCAATATTCTACCTAATGACAGATGATTCACACCCATCAATACTAGATTACCAAACTACCCATAGTCTGGTTTATTATCAGAGAGTACTTTTATACGACACAGATATTCATAGTGACAAAAGGATCTGTAAGATTTCATGTTAGTGCATTGAAAACAATTCTGATTACTGACTGAGAAGCTAAAAGTCGACACAAAACAACATATAATCTCATTCACATTTAAAATTATTTAGCTACCATAAAAAACTAATGCTTCTTCTAATCCCTACCTTATAATATCAGCATGGCCATAAGAGAATTGGATTGCATTCCCTTTTGCCCATCAACAATGATTGTTAACTATGTTCCAGCTTGCATTTGTGAAAGAAATCAATGGGTTTCTTTAGATGGAACAAATGAGGTAATAATTTGAATTTAATGGGATTTCATGAGTAAGTAAGGCTCTGTTTTATGTTGAAAAGTATTTTTGACTGGTAGAGAGCCATGACAAGAACGACCACCTTAACTAATATTGAGGTGAGTTCACAGCTGAGAGGAAAAAAAAATTGCTAGTGAAGTGAGAATGTTTTAAATAGAACCATTGACAAAAAGTACAAATGGAATTCTACAATGCCTTTTTTTGTAGTCACTTTTCAAAAGAAAACAGAAAGATCACGTGCCAAGATCTTCTTTTTCACTTGTAAAAATGTGTTAATAATTCTTCTATGTTTCAGTGAAAGTTACTTTCTTCTCTTTTGCTGCAGATTACAAAAGCATCAAGAAGAAGTTTAAATGCTGGTTTAGCCTACTCAGAAAATCATCAGATCCGTGTTTCCCAGCAAGACTACAAACTATTCCGAGCCCTTTTGCTGTTGATGATCTCTTTCTTCATTATGTGGAGCCCAATAGTAGTAATTATTTTTTTAATTTTAGTTCAGAACTTCAAAAAAGATTTAAATATTTTGCCATCAGTTTTCTTCTGGACAGCATTATTTACTCTTGCCAACTCTGCTGTCAATCCAATTTTGTATAATGTTGCCCATTTCAGACGTAAATGTCAGGAAATTCTTCTCTGTTGTACCGGGAACCCTGAAAGGCATAGGGCAGGTACAGAAACCACTGCAAGAAGAAGTAACCATGAACAGCCACACTTGTCTTTCATTACCAGATAATTATTTAAAGTCTGAGCTGTGCCACACTTTGGATGTTGTCTACACTATTCCAGGTCGAATAGGTCACTCTGATATAGTATTATATGCCAGAGAAGGGGGGGAAAAAAAGCTAAATCTGTATTTTTGTCTCCTGCAGGTAAAATTCTCTTGACTTCACTGCTTTGCCTCAGTAAGATTTGTACAATTTAATCCAATGGATTGAATTCTCCTCTTACACTGAAATAAATAGGAATATAGCAGTGAACTCAGTGAATGTAAAACAGCTGAAATAAGTACTTGCCAGATGAAACAATTTCTATGAGGGTACATTTTCAGATGGCATAAATCTCATTAACTTTAATGAGGTTATAATGAATCTATATCAAGAGGGCACCTGATTCATTTTTACTTGTTATTTCCTACTGAGTAAAAGAAATAAACTTTCTAGTTTAATGTTCATCCTCAGAACATTAATGAAAATGTTCATCCTCAGAAAGTGTGTGCTTTTTTTAATCCCATTGTAAAAGAGAATTTGATTATACTCTTAGATTACTGACTGCCTGAACCTATGTTTGAGCCAACTAAACAATTTCATGTAGGAAACAAGGTGATAAACATATATTATCACCAAGTGAATGACCAGTTTGGTTCCATCTCAAATTAAAAATATGGGCATGATGCATATTAATTTATAAATAAAGAATAAATAAAAATGGTTAATTGTCATGTGTAAAATAGTTCTTTTAAAAAGATGCATATTTTTTATGTCTCCAGTAGTCATATAATGTTAATTAGTGATATATAGGGTCATTGAAATTCCTTCCTCTTTTCTAAAAGTCTATTGGGAATGATTTTCAGTATGTTCTAGGAAAAAATACGGCATTGAAAAGAAATTAAAATACATATATTTTAGGTTTTATGATTAAAACCCTCTTTTAGTCAGAAATTGAAACTACTAAAAAAAAGCAAGATTAAATTCTTAATGCCATCTGAGACCAATTCAAAACAGTGCACTAAGATAACAGTCTACTAATAAAACCAATGTCTACATATGTACAGATTTGCATACAAACAATTTTCATTCCCTGTAATCCAAGTTTATTAAAATGTTTCATTGGTTTATCAACAAGGTGAGCTAGATAGCTCAGATAAATATATTCAAAATCTAAACGAAGCCATTTGAAACATTTTCCAGGGAACACCGGATCAGTGTGTTAACTTTACATCCATGGTGCTGTTACATGGTTTCTTTCCATAGTTTTGGACCTCCTTAAGAGCAAAATCCTGAAACACACAAAACCAAAAATTTTGTTTTTCAACCACACTAGACAAAATTACAATACACAAACTTTCACCAAATTTAAAATGTCCATGTCTAATTTCTTTAAAATGCTCTTGAGCCCAGCAGTCTGTAACTTGTAATAATAATAATAATAATAATGCTATTACCTTGTTCTGCAGTTTATAATTCCAAAGAATTTTCAACTCAGAACACAACAGGAATTCATCCAACCTGTTACACGTGTCCTGAGCATTTAATACTTTGGCAAATAAGGCACTGGACAGATCAGTGATAAAAGAGTTATTTATTTACTTTAACAAGCTTCAAATTATTTGCCTTTTAAAAATTATTAATTTAAGAATGTCTTTCAGCAAAATAAGAATCTCCTGACCTCCAAAACTTCTAATGGCAATAGCAAATTAGCTGAGGGAATATACTACCCCTTAATTCACAGTTTTTTCTTCTAGCAATTGCTAACAGCAGATTTAGCTTTCACTTCTGCTGACATGACACTGTTTTGTATTTACAAGTATTCTCACTTAATATCCACACTCATATTGCATAACTTAAAGTAACAAGGTATTACTCTAAGAGACAAAGTGTATCACAGCTGCATCTATATTTGAAAAAGAGCTACCATCAGAAATGCAATGTAAGTTAGAACAAAAAACTTGTCATTTCTTAGGCTTCTCTTTTTGCCTTGAAGAGCCAGTATACGAAGAACACATTTTTGGTTTTTTTTTTAATCAAGGTAAGTTTTGTACCTCTATTGGTTTGGCATACACACACACACACACACACACACTCACTCTCTTAATTTGAGTACAGCATTAATTTAAAAAGCTAATGAAAAATGGTTGGGAAAAATATCAGCTTCAAGACATAGCAGAGTATGCACAATTAGAAACAGACACAAGTTGTTATTGCAGCATCTATTAACATCAGTCAGAATTTTAGCACAGTAACAATGGGATGCAGGTCAATATAGACAATTGAAGTTGGCTTGTTTTGCTAGTAATTCTTTATCTCCTAATAGCAGATTTAAAACTAAAGTAGCAAGGCTTCCAATCGTCATATAAGGAATTAAGCGAATTTTGTAAGAATTTCTGATACAAAGCTTTCAATAAATGATTTTTTTCAGTTTAGCTCACAATCATTCTTTCACTCCCAAACATACTTGCCTTGCAGGAACTTTGGTTAATGATACTGGAATATTGAGAATCAACTGACAATATAGTAATTACAGGTCCTGATTACATAAAGGGGAAAATGCAAGTTGCTGGCTTTATTTTATACTTTGGTGCTGGGCTCATAAAGATAAACTCTGGCATAATCCTCAATAAAAAAGGACTGGGGCTACTATTTTTTCTTTACAAACAGTATGGAACTCACTGTTTGTATCAGATATATCAGACACTGCACTCAACACCTAAAATTTGAGTATAAATTAGGATGGCAGACAAATAACAAGTGCAACTTGGTAGATTTGATATTTCTATAACAAACTAGAGGAAGCATGATCAACTTTTAAATTAAGGTTAGTAAGTCAGAGAATATTTAAGGCTGAACTTTCAAAAGGCATTCTGAGGTCTTATGTTTAAATTACAGTATTGCTTCTTTACTCTGCAAAAAACCACAAGCATTCTATTATATAGAAGTTCTGAAATATTTGAAAAAGTTATATCACAAATTATGAATAAATTAATATATTCTGATTTTTCTTTTTGGTTTATAGTTTCTTGCAAAGATTGACAATACATTTATTGTCTTTCAGGCCTCATATGCAGTAGAAATAATAGAAATACAGATTCCACCATGCTGAACTGGACCAGTACTTGAACTAGCCCAATAATCCTTATTTTACAGTGGGATAGTACTTCCTCTGAATTTGACAAAAATACAAGGAACCACCATAACACACAGCTCCCAAAATCACAGCTGTATATCTATACTTTATCTTAGATTTAATATAATATCCCTAATCATCTCATTATTTGGTTTTCTTATCTTCAGAAATTTTTATTCTTGCTGTACCTCATTTGAAAAACAGTGAACGCAGGATTCAAATCAGAAAAGTATTGTTGATTTATCTAATGACATTGTTTCTTTTCTATCCTACCCTTTATGCAATCATACAAATCACTCACAAAAGTCAGTTTCATTTGCATTTATGGTGTCTCTTGTTCTTGACTGCCGTAAGTCTCAACTGTCTTATATTGTCCCCAAATTCTCATTCAAGATAAAATTTTTGTTTTCATTGTTATCAGGTACTTTTTGCAGGTTACTGATCACCATCTACCCTAGCAGATCTTTCAGGCACCTTGTTATCAGCATACCCACTTTACAACATGGCAATATCTTACTCTCTGTTTATAGATCAGATGAACAGGTAATAGAGCCACAAGACCTGACTGTGCTCATCTGTTCTGACTTTCTTTAGAAGACACAAAAGTTTCTTCAGTCAATCCCTGTTTGTTCTAACATGTCATTGAGGAAAGCTTTTAATCTTGATTTACAGATTTCAGTGATGAATATACAACAGCTCTTGGTAAACTGTTCCAAAGGTTAATGACCTTTGGAGTTAAACAAATGGCTATTTATTTCTGCTCTAAATGTCCAGTTTAAAGTTCCATCCATTTAAATTTATTATTTCTGTGTTTGCAAGTCCTTTATTATCCAATTACCATTGCTTGTGTGGGCAAGCACAGACTTTGCTCAGGTCAGCCCTTAATCTCTTTCTAATGAGAAATATCAAGGTCTTTGAAGCACTCACTAAAGGACACATTTTACAGACTTTCAATCATTTTCTCTGCTCTTCTTTGAAACTTCTAATTCATCCTCAGTACTCTTCCAGTTATCGTTATCATCAAATGTGACATAGCAAGCAGACCTATGCCAAGCACAAGCCTCATCTGAGTCTTGGTTTATGCATCCAAGAATCACATTAAATCTTTTGCCACACTGTTACATTGGGAGTTCACTTATTCACTGCTCAAGTCTTCTGTAGATGTCTTTCAGAGTGTGAGGGGAATGTAGGAACAGATACACTACTATTTTATTTGTTCTAAATATTCTGATTTTTCTTCCTCATTCTTTACTATTACCCACTCTAAGTGTAATTTTTATCAGGAAGTACATTATGTTTTGTTCTAGATGATTATTATTTTCCCTTTTCTAATGTACTTGAAGAATAAGTGAGCTAATCTGTATCCTTCCCCGTGTTGCAAGCTCAGCCTGACTGTGTGACTCAAGATACTCATGCTTCCAGTATATGCCCCTCTTCCACTACTACCCTTTGTGAAAAGGTTGGCATGAGGACCTGTGAGAAAGGGTCTGCTGTAAGGATCCTTTCCAAGACTTCTGATTGTCCCTAAAAGATTTTTTAAAGAATTTTTCAAATAGATTTTTGAAAAAAGGCAAAGTGTTCTGATTAAAGAAACACAATTACTTTTTAACACAACTGTGAAGTCTATCTGTACAATGTTTACTCACACTACATTGATTTAATTGTTTTACAACTTCCTCTAATTACTGTTTCAGCTGATCTGATATGCTACATAAAAAGGTATACACTTTTGCTCTCCTTCAGATAAGGGAAGTAAAAGTTGGAAATAACACTGCAAGGTCCAGTTTTCAAAATACAACGTTACAACCACTAAGTAAAAGACTTCATGCATTTTACATTTAATGAGCAAGAGAATCCCAGCGCTTTAGCTGTTAAACCCTGAAATAAAATTCTTCAGAAAAAGAAGGTTCTTACCATTATGAACGATAACTCTGTATTTTCTGTCCAAACAGAGGTCCATCTGCCTTTGCCTGACAATTTTCTGTGCCTCTGGAGGCAAACCCTTGGGGTCCCGGGAGAACACAAAGGAATAGCTGTTAGCACAAGTGCCGTCCGCGTTCAGTTGGCGGCAGGAGTAATGAAGAGCGTATGTATCATAATCTGTGTCCACTATCCAGTGATCATCATCTGGAAGAAACCATAGCAAAGAAGCAAAGGTGTTAGAGACACGAGTAAAATCTAGAAAATCAGAAGAGATTGCTGCCATAACTCTGTAAAGAAAATATTAAGATGAAGATTGGTACAAATTATAACAGATTAGCTAGTAGTTTATTCCCGCGTCCAGTATTTCATTCCATGTTTGGGAAGAAGTTGTTTGTTTTAAAGAGAAAATAAACATATTTAGCAAGGACATGCTAATCCTCTTCCAGATGACTCAAAACTGTAGCTATTTTCCCACCAGGGATGTTACTTAGACTGTATTTTTAGAGAAAAAAGATTGTTGAGCACTTTGCATGTGCGTTAAAAGTGTATTTGGTACAATAAACCCTCTTCTTAAAACACAGTTACAATTTCAAAGAATTCTGAACTATTTAGCTATGTAACCTGATAAATACCTGGTCACACAGACACCCTGTGCTAACAGAAGTGAATCTAAGTGTTTGCAGTAAAGCAGGTTAGATCTGCACCTTCCTCTCCCGGAGCAAAAGATTCTCCCTTGCACTACCATCTGCAACTGGTGAAAGCAGCACTATGTTCTCTTCCCCTTTTTTCCTGTGGGGGGACACCAGGCTTTTTAGAAAGGTAGAATCTGGGCTCAGCCAGCAATCTGAAGCATCCATGATTCAGCAGCATGTTGTGAGGAGACCTGGCAACAACTTAAAAACCATTGGCATTCAAAACATTCTTTTAACTGTGTCTTTGGACAGAATGGAGCTCCTGTCACTTTCAAATTCCACCTGCTTCCCTTGGAAGCAATCCAAGGAAATGTCTTGAGCTACAAAGAGTCTGAATCTCTACTTGGCTCAAGAAACTAATTTTGCATAGGGTATGACAAATGACCTAAAAATATGAATATATAGACATATATATAATATTTATAGGATAGTTTTTGTCTCTTAAAACAGATAAATCTCTACATTTTCAGACAGAAGACCAAACAAAATAACATTTGCTAAATCCTCTTTGCTGCTTGGCTAGGTCTGACATTAGGCTTCTCAGACAGAGCAGAAACATCTGGTAACTGAGTTCTGAACTAAACCAAGTCTTGAAATACTTCATCTGCCTTTCATTTCTTTCCAAACAGTGACCTTCGATTATATTGTTGGGTAACAAACAAAAGAAATACAAAGGCCTGATCTTCACGTGTTTAAAGAAAGCCAGCCAGCTGTCCCATATAAAAAGTAGTGATTACCTTGTTCACGTTAAGGTTTCGTGTATGATAGTTATTACCTCTTTTAAATGTGCTTAAGAAATTCAACAGTACTTTTTCCTGCCCCAGCATGGACATGCAATACAACTAGGCTTCCAAGTAGTTCTGCATCTTCTGTAGTTAAGTACTCACTTCCTTTCTGCAGAAAAGAGGCAACACCCCAGTACTTCATCTTGAACTTGGCAGGATCCTCTGTGTCAGTGAAAGAGCCGATCATGTCAGCACAGACATCCCAGTTACTGTAGCCAGAGACAAAGAAAATATCACAGTCAAATCTAACAGCACAGATTCAGTGTGACTGGCACAGGGATAGCAGGCAGGTTTGGAGCACCAGTAAGTGCAGCAGAAGCTTAGTGAAATGGAACAAGAGGAAAATTGCAAACAGCTTACTTGAAGAGTCTGACTCTGCCCTTTGCAGTAGCACTCATTTGTCCATTCTCATCTACAGTGAACTGGGCTACCACATTGTCCCGCAGAAATAGTCCCTCAGGATCTTTTTTTGCCATACCATACCAGGTGCCACTGTACTGCAAGGAAATAAGAAAGGCTTCAGTTAGACCTAGAAGAATGGAAACATTACAGACACTACAGACTAGGGCAGGTGACAGAGGGAATGGCATACAGACCTTTGACCCCCTGCCTCCAAGTTGTACCTAAGAAGCAAATCTAGCTGTTCCAACAGCATAAACACACCAATACATCCTACTGCAGTCAGAGTTTGTGGAAATATTGACCTCTTTCGGTTATCTTATTTGTATCTGCAGCTCTCCAGTATTAGGAATGCAAAATTTGGTGGAAAGAGATTAACAAGTGGCAGATCTTGACAGATTTATGTACAATTTTTTTTCCTTGCAATCATATCTGAAAACACCAGATTATTAATTTTTCATAGAAACAACAAAGTCATCACACTTCTTTTGCTTACACCATACAGTTTGAGTCCAGTCTCTAAACCTCAGTTTCTGCAGTATTTATCAGATGCATCAAGATCTAGCATCTGTGGAGGTGTGGGCAACATTACATGCTTCTGCTGTTTCTCAGTATTGCAGTCTGTGACTCTGAGTGAGAATGCGAACACACTGGTGCTACTGAATGTCAAATTCTGTAGCCTGGGAAGAGGAGCTAGGCAAGACATCACAGATCCAGAAGAGAAAGGAGATTTACCCTGGTCTTGTCGAAGTTCTCCTTGACTTTGAAGCTGCTTACTCGGCAGTCCCGCTCCGCAGTGGTGCTGCCCAGCAAGGCCAGTGCCAGCAGCAGCAGCCAGGGTAGAGCTCTCTCTGTGTGGGCCATCCTGTACCTGCAGCAAACAGACGGAGAATAGCATCAGAAACAGGCTCTGTCACACAAGCGAGGAAGGGAGGAAGGCTGCCCTGCCAGGTCACCAAGACATCCAGCAGCTTTCCCTGGTGCAAAGCACCTGGTTGTCCCCAGCCCACAACAGCAGGTCCCTTACAGACAGTGCCGGTCCCTGTAGCCTCTGGAGAGCCCAAGTGTTGATGGCGGTGCCTGGACAGGGAACACTTTATGTAGTCCTGGGCTTTCGCAACCCCCTGGGCTACAAAGCCAGAGTTGGAGGGGGAGTAGGTATGTGGGTCAGTGCCTGCTGCAGGCTGGGCCCCTTCATAACAGCCTCTTGCGTAACACCCATGGGCTCAGGTGGTCTTTGACCCAGATCTGCAGCCAAGCAGGTGCTAGGAACAAATGCCTTTCTTTGCTTTTCCTGACCCAAAAGCAGAGCTCACACCTGGGGGAAGGGGAGTGCACATGTGTGTGGAGAACAAACGGAATGAGAGGCACCTCACCTTTGCATGGCGGAGAGTGAACTGCCTCCACCTCCCCTGTGATTTTACGCACTGCAGTCCAAAATCCTTCTCACCCAATGTGCTAAACCCAGTTACAAGGTGCAGACTTGCTTCCTCCACCTCCTTCCCAAATTCCTTTCCTCTTTTCCCTTATAAACAGCGGCAAACATAATACTTGCAAGTTTCTGCTAATGTTTCTGAAAGCCCAGTCATGCCGGAACCAATTCACGTCCTCATGACCGATTCCCTCTTGCTTCCAAAAGGCTGTCTTGGGTGCTAAATCATCTCATGATTGGCTCCCAGCAACAGGAACTGGGGCCCTGCAGATCTTCAGGAAGGTGAAAGAGCTCTTTTGTGTGATACTGCAAAGGCAGCAGCACCTAAGTGTGGCCTGCAAATACCCAAATACATGTACACATCACATTTGACCCTTTGGACATCAGTTTTAAATCAGATATTCCACAGTTTCTATTCTGTTTTTGACAAACTGTTTTCAGTTATATAAACCATTATTTTCTCCTGTCCAGGCAAGTTTTGCTGCCTCTCAGTCAATATTTGTTCTCCAGTTTCAACATCTTTAGGAAGCATTAGAGAAAACCTGTTAATTATTTTCTAGGCATGTAACTAGAGCAGGATAGGAAAAGCATGATTGCTACCAAGAGAACTAATTCACCAATTTTTTCACTTCCCAATTTTGAAAGAATAAAGGCAGAAGCCTGTAATTTGAAAAGTCTGTGTTCATTACTTTAAAAATTAAGCAAAAACATAATTTAAATATGGAGGCACCAATGTAGCATAAAAAACCACTTCATTAGTAGCTGATGTAGAGAATTAAACTAATTTATTCAGCCTGGTCTTTCCCAGAAATTTACTTCAGCCTTCTATTCCTTTCATATATTCATAAAAATATTAAACTTTTTACTGTTCTGTCCTTTACAATCTCTTTACATATGTAATGCAGTCTGTTTGAATTATCTTCCTTTTCTGCTTTGTGTTGGAACCTTTTTGCATAGACAGCATGTTTTTGTTCACTTTCTCAAACATCAATTGCTCAGGGCTGTTCCAAGTCTGCTCTTCAGCCTTTGATTTCCTGGATAATATCAGACACTAAAAATTCCATTATGTTTAATATTAAGCTTCTATTTGGAGTAAAAAACATATTAAACACAGGGAACCAGAAAGGTGTATGTATATTAATTGTCCTGAAACTTTCAACGGTAGCTTTTTAATAAGTCAACATTTCCATTTTTAAACTGAGATTTTCAAGTTTGCTAATTCCTACAGAGACTGAAGAGAACCACCTATACCATTCCAGTGGCTTTTAGAAATTTGCTCTGATCTCTGGTAATGGTGAGACCAATGATACATATGCATTTTTATAAAACTCCTACAAAACAGTCACTAGTCTTAATATATGAATTCATTATACTTACAAGATCAAAATCAACATGGATTTTCTTTGTTCAGTGTCTCACACGACTGATAGCAATAAGATGGATTATAGCTTAATTTATAAGCTTTAAATCTATATATTTCCTTTAATACCAAAGAAAATATTATTTCTTTATTCTCTGTCAATTCCAGAAATATTATCATTTCTCTTAAGTTTGTCCTGTTCAAAAACCTGCATACTGCTTTATATTGCCAGTGAGGTTCTTGCAGGATCAAATCTATTTCTATAATTTTTTTCAATAACATAATTATCTATGAAAATCCTATGGCAGTGGTTTTCAAAGGAGTTTACAGTCACTCATCCAAATCAATCAAAACCTGTTGAGATTTGACCACCTCTGAAAATCTAGGTCAGTGTTCCTGTTATACAATACTGCCTGTTGTCAGCAGTTTTACAGAAAGTAGACCAACCCAGGCTTCACTGAAACAAAAATGTACTTCTGCTAATAAATTTTAATAGAATTGGTTCTATATATTTGCAAGAGCTATTACAGTCTCTTAACTTAAACTAAATAAATCAGAAACATGTAATTTTGTATTAGCCATGGCACAGAATTTCTTTAATTGTGTACCTCCACTGATCTCTGCACTATTTGGCAACTCGTACCTGGTGAAGAGTCTTAGTAATTATAACTTCTAACTCATTCTCAAGTCTGGATCTCTACAATCTCTACAGTCCATAGGCAATGCCTAAGAAAACTCTTCTTTTGACCTGTTATAATTGGAAATTTGTGGTAGTGCAGCTACAGTGAAGTCACATCTGCATTTCCCAGTCAGACTTCAGCAACGGCAATATTTTCCATTAGGAATAGAAAGAGAAAATACACAGAAAAGTTCAGCTTTTCAGAGGAAATAGTGGGAAGAAAACTTTCATTGTAGGAGTTGTTTTAGCTTTATTTAGGAAAAACAAAAGAAGAAACAAGAGTCAAAATACTACTTAAAATATTTTAAACCCTGCAACATTTAAGCTTTAAATATTAAAAGAACTAGAATTTTTTTTGTGGCCATAAGAATAAGTCTAGCTCTTAGGAGAAAGTTGGCTCAAAAGCTGCTAATAGGAAATGGAGCATCCATTTCCAGCCAGACTGCACATAGATTGAAAGACTTTTTGCTGTCTTCTTAGGGCTATTTATTTGTAGAATGCCATTCACAAACATTAAACTCTTAGAGGCAGATTTTGCAGATGAGTGAATGACTGCTGTGTGCACAGAGCAGTGGATATAAGTGTAGCCACTGCCCTGTGAAACCACTCATATGCAACAGCAAATGGCATGATTTGAGCTAAGGAGCTCGGTGTACTTTGCAAGGGACAACTGTGTACACTGTCACCATCACAACCATTCCCCTCAGTGGCAGTCCAGGTACAGAGGTCAAGGACAGAATGGAGTAGAAAAGATTGGCCTTTGCTCCATGCCAGCTTGTGTACTACCTGATTTTGTAATTGAATGACTCGACATTCTGTTTAGGGAGTAAATTTACACTGAACTCTTTACAAACAGTATTTACTAACAAACCTAGTTTAAAATGGTACCTTTACTTTCTTTAGTAAATCCTTCTGAGGATAGTGATTCTCAATTGAAATGTTCTAGGCATATTACTAAAACAGAAACAACTTGAAACAAGGATGTCAAGTTTGCCAACAGGCTGGCCTGAAGAAGAGCTCTAAACTGAAGTGAGTCCAGTGAAGAGCCACAAAAAGATCATTGAGAAATAAGAGAATCTGACAAAAAGAGAGGCTGAGAGAGCTGGAACTGTTCAGCCTGAAAAGATGGCTTGGGGGGATCTTATCAAGTGTATAAATAGCTGGCAGGAGGGAATGAAGACGACAGAGTAGGACCCTTCTCAGTGGTGCTGAGTAACATTCTCAGTAAATGTCAGAATGGCTGAAATTAAAAGGCTGCTGCCCTTTGCTCAGTCTGAATGCAAAAATTCATGCCAAGCTATGAAGAAACCCATGCTTTTGGTCAAAGCTACAGTGCATCTGGCGAGCCAGGTTAATCCCTTCATGCTAAAGTGGCCATTTACTTTAGGAAATTTCCCCTAGAGTCTATAACCTCTGCTGACTCAAAAGGAGGGCAATGAAGATGGTAGCCTTGAGGGGAAGCCGTAAGAGAAGAGGCTGAGGTCACTTGGTCTGTTCAGCCTGGAGAAGAGGAGACTGAGGGGAGATTTCATTGCAGTTGCAACTTCCTTGTAAGGGAAGAGGAAGGGCAAGATCTGATCTCTTCTCTGTGGTGACCAGTGATAGAACCCGAGGGAATGGCCTGAAGCTGTGTCAGGGGAGGTTTAGGTTGGATATCAGGAAAAGTTTCTTCACCCAGAGGGTGGCTGGGTGCTAGAACAGGCTCCCCATGGAAATGGTCACAGCATCAAGCCTGACAAAGTTCCAGAAGTATTTGGACAATACTCTCAGGCACATGATGTGACTCTTGGGGATGGTCCTGTGCAGGGCCAGGAGTTGGATTCGATGATCCTTGTGGGTCCCTTCCAACTCAGCATATTCTGTGATTCTGTTATTTCATGAAGTCCCAGAGCTAATCATTAGTAGTTTTAGGGGAACTAACAGCTATGTGAAAAAAAAAAAAGCAGTTAGCTTACTATCTTCAGTGTTCACATTTTTAAGATTATTTTGTAAGAAAAGGTATAGAAAATTATTGTAAAAGAAACATACAAGTTGAAGATGTTTATAAAGGTCCCCAGAATATACAAGATCAGTGACACTAAAACAGTTCAGTGCCAAAACCTGGCTATTTTAGGGTCGCACAATAACTGTTGTAAAAAGCTACAGAACCCATTCTCATAGCCTACTCATTTAGAAAAAAATCAATAATATTTCTGAATATTAATTTCTTGGATTATATCAGAGATATCAATCTCCAGTGCCCAGACAGTGACCACAAAATTACCCGCATCAGAAGTCATACAGTTGAAATAAACACATTTGATCTGTGTTTCTTCAGAAAATCTTAACTGAATAAACCACATTAAGTGCTATCAGTTTGGATTGGACAGAGACATTCAGAGACGAACACTGAAGTGAACTGGGAAACCTTATAAATGCCTTTGACATTTACGTGCTGCTTGAATCTATTTAAATAACCACGTCTGTCACTTATCCTTCTTAGGAGTTTCCATGTATCACAAGGGCTCAGGAATGGTCTACTACTAAGAACTACTCCATAAATAGTTCAATTTCTGTAGTAACTATGAACGTCAAAGGCAAATGACATCATATATATTAAAATCACAAAGCACAAATATTTCTGATATTTTCTAAAATTAAACCATTTGAAAAATAAGCACCCTGGTCATCATGTTTTTATATCAAACAATCTCATCATGCAAAAGAATCAAATCCAAATGCATATTATTTTTGCACTTAAAAGTGCAGTGAAAATGACTGTGCAAGGTTAGTTTCCAATATTTAACCTCCATGCATATAATGGAACCTACATTACAATGTATTTTAATAGGTGATTTCATTAAAATTCTGGGGGGAAAGACATCAGCAAAATCATGTTTTAAAGTGCCAGAAACATGAAATTACTTTTTGGTATAGTTTCTTAGAATAAACTTAAATACAAATGTACTTAGTTTTACTGAAGTGTTCAATACTGTGGAAAATAAGGAGAGTAAAGGAGACAAAACAGAAAACAAATGTCATATTCCAGCAGAGAAACTTTAAAATTCATTACAATGCTAGTACTTCAAAATGTTTAAATGCCCTAATTTGCACAAGTCATTAAAATACTATTATGAGAAAAACAAAAAGGCATCAATAAATAGGAAAACACAATGTATTTTCCTAACTCTAAAATGTGGGATTCCATAAATATAAGGTACATTTATGTATCAATCTACATTTTAATTTCTATAAAATCACTTCAATTTTTATTATTCATGGTTAATCAATATGAAGATAGAGTTCATGATGAAACACAACGTGACTAATATAGCAGTTGTTGAAAAAAAGCCAACTTACCTGTCTTCCAAACATAAACTATTTCATCAAGAACTTCTATCCATTTCTGATACTTCTTTCCATGTCATTTCACACTTACAGAGCAAGAGTGCAATTTCAATAGTGAACATATAATAAGGAAAAACCAAAAAGAATTATTTGATATATACGAATGATTATGGGACAATCCAGCTACATCTGAAATATTTTGTGACAAAGAAAGATTTATCACCTTATGGTGGTACCTAATTAAAATACGATCTTTACTTGTTTTCTCAAAGTACAAATAGTGTAATTTATAAATATAGTGTAATTTTTGTAAAAACAGATGGGCATGAGGGAGATTTTGTGGAATCATGATAAGCATTTTATATGATCTTGCACACAGAAAAAATGATAATAAAATGATAATAAAATTGTTAGTTTACAAAAATGTAAACCCACCAACCTCCCTGCCCCCAAAGAAAATGGCATAACCCGATCAAGTTGCCTATCTTTTCTTATTCTCCCTCCGGAGAGTGGCAGACCACTCTATTTCATTGGATTAATGTGATGACAATATAAAGAATTAATGCTTGTAAAATTGGTTTCTCACACGTGATAGAGAGGAATGTGTAAGTATTACATAGAAGACAATTTTCTAGAATGTTTTAACTGGGCATGAGACAGATCCTCTATAAACCCCTCCTACTTCAAAGAAACTACTATGTAGAATGTTCCAAAGTCAGTAAACAAACATGACCAAACAAATAATGCAAAAAAAGGTCACTATTCCTTCACATGATTTCATCGAAGCTCTGCAACATCCTCTTTTTTTAAAGCACAGCATTAGAAGTAATGAGCTAGAAATTAGGAATATGATAAGAAGTAATTTAACTTGATGTGCAATTACATATAAAATTCTTTTCAAGGCTCTATTGCTTTTATACATATTGATCAAATCATGAAATTATTAAAAGACTAAGATATATGTGCATTTCTTCTACTGTTTTCTTGTGAACCCTACGTATGTGCAATGGTGAGAACATCCTGCTGTGCTGCCACAATTTAGTATTGCCAGGTCACCCGTGGAGAAGATGCTGTAAACTTACACACTCACCAGTGTCCTATGCTGCCCTCCACGCTGTTGGGGAGAAACAACTCAGTCAGAGCAAAGGAACCAGGAAAAAATATGTTTATACTGTGCTGATTTTCATATGCATTTTTAACTCTGTATGGCAACTGCAGTCCAGCAAAAACTAGTGTCATACCTGGTGTTTCATATCATGGTCAGAGGGAAAACTAGTGTAGTGAGTTAGCTACACACCAATCAGTGACCTGTTCTTTGTGCACGGGAGTATCTGTGTTAGTTGCCCATATTGATTCTTATAGATCTGTTGATAAAAACGAATGTTGACACACTGTGGCTTCTGGAAGACAGATGAAGTTGTACTTTGGCAATTATTCTTTACAAATTAAGAATTGCCAAAGGGTATATGTTTCTTTCTTCTTACATCAAGAATCTCTTTCTGCTTCTAAGCAATGTGGATGCCACAAATAGAAATAAGATTAGTTGTATTGCAACCTTCCTACTGTGCTGAAATTCAGATCTGTTTCAATGAACTCAGATGATTTGCTGTCATAGTTGGCACTCAATTTAAACTCAGCCTTCTCACTCACATAGCCTTGGGGTGTTTGCTCCTAAAATTCAACAGTTTCCATCATTCCTTTTCAATTCATGTGAGTAATGTTGAACTTCTGATGGTAGGAAACTTTAAAGATGCATAACCATGTATATTTAAGAGCAGAGTCAAGATTCCCTCTTTGCCAAATATCTGTCAGTTATTATCATTTTTCTGCTATTTAAGACAGCAGAAATATCAATTTTTTTCTGAAGAAGGCATAGAACCTGACTGGATAGTTATGCTTATAGAATAAAAAATTTTACTGTTTCCTCAACTCAGAATTTAATCAATTTTCTGATTTTGTTTTTTCTTTTAGTTATCTATTTTAGAAAAAAAATATATAAGCAAGTCATGTCTGGCTGTGATGAGTCAAATTCTAATTCTTTTATTCCATCTTCACCTAGCACTTGCACAAGCTCGGACTTTTGTAGGTTCTTTAGTTTTGTGAGGTCTTTAGGATTTCCCCCATTTTATGCATGTATAGCTTAATCATTATTTACTTTCAGTAATCCAATTTCTATCATCTACTCCCTATTTCAAGTAAAACTAAATTTCACAATTTAAAAGATTTCTCCACAACTTTCTATTTTCCTGCCCTTAAGTAACTCTCACAAATACACGTGTGTACGTCTGTGCACGTGTCTAATGTGGGATGAGCATCTAGCTCATATTAAGTTTTAATGGGAACATTCGTGTGCATAGTACAATATATATGTTGTGAATGAAGGAGATAACATACAGGTATACATATCTACACTTCAGACAATTTTATAAGGTCTAAGAATTAATTGGTTAGTTTAAAATGCTAAAATGATTCCCTGAGGATTTATGAGCTAAGAATGCTCAGGGGTTTAGTGTCCTGACATCTCTTTAATTAGCAGTCTCCAAGATCTCACACTAAGAAGATGCTAAGCCAGTGCCTTCTGTCATATCTCAAGAGTTTCAGAAGGCTTGAAAGCCACAGAGGAAGGTGAATGTATTATGTCTGTGAGCTATACAATATGTACAAAGTACATTTTTCTTACTAGTAACAAGTTAGGACTTCTTCCTACCACTCCTGCTTTGATGGTGATGAATTTCTAAAAGAAATCCTAAGAAAAATCCAGCAAAAATGGGTGAGGTAAATAAAGATGCTGTTGAAAAATACCTGGAGAACAATCCTCAGTTTGCCAAGGAGTATTTTGACCGAAAAATGAGGGCAGAAGTGCTGGGAAGTATCTTTAAAGTGAACCCTGGAGATGTGAAGGAAGGAGTCAGCTTCAAAGACATGTCTCGTCTGGAGGAAAGTAACATACTTTTTGAGTTGATAACAGAAATCCAAGATGAAGCAGGTGTTATGGAAAAGATAGTGCACAAGGCCCTGCAGAGGCTGGCACAGCTGCTGGCAGCTGATCGGTGTAGTATGTTTCTTTGTCGTTCCCGAAATGGTATTCCAGAGGTAGCCACCAGGCTTTTGGATGTCACTCCAACTTCCAGCTATGAGGAAAATTTGGTAAAACCAGAAAATGAGACTGTTTTTCCTCTGGACATCGGGATAGTGGGCTGGACTGCTCATACCAAGAAGTTTTTTAATGTACCTGATGTGACAAAGGTAAGTGACTTCTCTTGGGGACTGGGTTTCTGTGCATTTGCT